TGGAGGGGCATATGAGTAGGAATGAATCGTACGAGCATAAAAGAAAAGGTCGACAGGTTCAACGAGTCGGATGGTAACTCTATTCCGTGCTCATTTCAATCGGTCCGAATCGTACGTGGACGAAAATTTGGAATAAAATGGTTCAAATTCTTACAAAATATTATTATTATTTATTGTGAAAATACAACAGTCCTAAAGCCAAAGAAAATTATTGCCAAAAAGGAAACTAAGCAAATTGGAGCTATAGTATCTGCAGAACGAGGTACAGTACATTAGTCACCGTAGAACTGGCAGCAAATGCATTAGGACACACAGTTCCTCCAATGTTTATTTTCCCTCGACTTACATACAACGATTTATCTATTAAAGGCGGAACCATTGGTGCCGCCATTGCACCAACGGAAGCCATTGGTGCAGGAAATAGCTCTGGATGGATGACAGCTGCAGACTTCCTGATATATATGGATCACTTCAAACACACCAGACCATCACCTTCAGATCCAATTTTGTTATTACTTGTTAATTATTTCTTCTCAGTGTCAAATTTCTACATTTTTTCTTTAAGAAGGCAGTCAACATTTCTCTTGTAGAATTTCCTCCAAAAATTACAAGTTTGGAAGAAGAAACTAAATGTTTACATCTAAAAAAAAAAAATGGATTTAATATTGTGATGTAATTACTTCCAAGCTATGCAGAAATAACTTTTTCTGCGTTTCTTTGCAGTAATTCACATAAATGAATTACTTTGTATGTTAAGGGTCATCAAGTGCCATTCAGGCAGACTCATCTTAGATTCGACTGGTGGAAAAAAGTAGAACAGGACATATTCTTATGAAAATAGCCAACGAAAAATTTTTTCGACTGTCTGCGTGCCCCGAAATAGTTATCTCCGCGATCTGCTCATATTAATATTTATAATATAACACTTACCACAATAAATTCTGGAGCTTGGTCAAGTGTACCTGCATAGAAAACATGGTGCATTATAATTTATTATGAGTTATATGAATATTTTTTCAATGTAAATAATGCTTGTATAATTTAATACTAAGTGTATTATAACATAATGAATTTTTTTTTTTTGAAGAAATGTTATAAAATCATCAAATATGTATTTATAATTTGAATAATTAAATACATGATATGATATAATTATACATAATATGAATATTATGTATAAATATGATATCATGTATTTAATTAAAACCAAAACCATAATGAATTTATTCATAGAAACCCTTGTAAAATTTTTAAAAAATATTTTGTGATTTAAATTTTTTTATTTCAGAAATTTCATCATTTCACATTTAGGACAATTAAAAACAGTTTTTCCAAATGCTTATATTTTTCAGCAAGAGAAAGATAAGAATTCTATTAACAGTGAGCTTTCACATAATAATAATTATCAGTTAACAATATCACCAAATATTTCAATCAGTTCATCTTCTAAGCCAGATTCACTACCTTCATTATCTATTTTTACATCAAATGGATTAGCAAACCATTTGGGAACATGTATATTTTCCGAGTCTTCGAAACGTTCTTTAAAGTCTTCTCTTAATTTATCAAGATTGTGGTTGATGCACTACTTAATTTGAGTGTTCGTTGATTTATAAAATAACCGAAGCTTTATATCTCACCAGTAAATTTATTTACAATTATGTACAGTACTAGATTTTGTTTTACACTTATTAAGTAAAGCTCCGGTTACAAGCATGCATCGGTACAGAACATTCACTTGTCGCGAGTAGTGTAGCCGAGAGAGAGAAAAAGAATATGGCGGACGGACTGCACATGTTTTTTAATAGCTCCATCTGGATTTTCAGATGCAGCGCTAGGTTGCAATTATTCGGCCGACACAAAGATGTTTAATATATATCTTCAAATCACAGTCGGAAATCTTTTCATTTTCTTTTAGTACTTTAGTTTGAAAAATATTTAAAATCGGATCGTGCCAGTGAAGATTTAAATAGCTCCATTTTTACTCGAAAGGCCATTATGATTGTTCGAGCTTGAACAATTGGTACGTTTTTTCTTTGCAAACGCTTCTGTACATTAATATAAAAAATTGCTCTGGGCTTGAAGAGTTAAGTTTCGAATAAAGGTCTGCCAAATATAACAGATGGTTTAACTGGTCACATAGTGATGGATGCACATTCCTAAGAAACTCTTCAGCTGAGTCGTACAAGTCAACAACTCTCTGCAAACTATCACCTCTTGACAACCACCTTACCTCAGTGTGCAAAAGTAATTGGTTAAAAGTTTCATCATTTTCTTCATATAACTTAGCAAACAGTCTGGAACTGAGAGGATGAGCTTTAATTTCATTTATTGACCTGATGCACACTTTTAGAGTATCATGAAGTTCGCCACTCAGTTTTTTGGCTACAAGATACTGCCTGTGTAGGACACAGTAAACAGTATGCACAGTACTTTAAGAATCTTTTCTTTCAGAAAGACGAAAAATCCTCAATGGCCTACCATAGCAGGTGCACCGTCAGTAGCTACTGCAGTAATATTCCCGAAAGAAATGCTATGCTTGTTCAAATAATCTTGCAAACATTAAAAAATATTGTCTCACCTTTTGAATCAGTTTCAAGATACTTAGCAAATAGAAATTCATCAACAGTGTCATTCAGGGATGGGCTATGAAACCTAACATAAGCCATGAGAAGATTTGGACTTCCAAAGTTGATTCATGAAGTTGAATAGCAAATTTACAATGCTGGATCTCAGAAGTCAGTTGTTTCCACATCATTCACCATTTCCTCGATACGTCGTTGCACAGTATTTATACTTAATGGTAGTTGAGAGTCTTTCTTCATAACATTTTCAATTACATATTTTATAGCTGGTATTATAATCTCTTCAATAGTATACGATTTGCCTTTCTTTGCAATATTAAGAGAGATGCGTAGGATGTCTTCAGCCCTCCTTCTCTCTCAACATTAGCAGATGACTTCAAGTATGTACTCAAATTTATTTTGAAATATTCAAAATCTTTGTGTTTCTAATCAAAATGGATCCTTTCCAAGTGTTCTCTCATTTTCGCCGGCTTCATAGCATCATTGCTGAAATGTTTTTTTTTTTTTTTTTACATAATAAGCACATAGGAATAGTTTCATTAGCAAACGATGGCACAAAACCATATTTCAAATACTCCTGTGAATATTGCCTGCATTTCTTCTTAGCATTGTTGCCGACATTGTGGGTATTAAAATCAAATTTTTAATATGAAAAACACAATACGTTTTGCAGCACAACAAAACAGCAGCATTAAGTTCGTTTAACCGACCTTAGGCGAACTTAATTCTTCCACCTAAACTCTATCTTTTTATATGGATTGAAGATAGCGCTGATTGATCAATCAACGCTATCTTCGATCCGCAGGTGGTCCGATGCTCGGCGGCCAATCACCTATTTTGCTTTGAAAACTAACGGTCGTTTCTCGATCCGAGTTTCTATGTCGACAATCGTTGCTCGTTTGAAAAAGAGAAAAAGCGCGGAAAACGTACGTCCAGACGATTCCATCCCGACACCACCTTTTGCTAACAATAGATATTTAGAATTAGAAAGAATTATAATTCTTATAAACATGAAGGAAGATAGACTTAACAGCTATTTTAGATTTATTTCAATGTATGTACTCTCTAACATCGCGTTTGGAAATGATCTCATATAGTTAACATAAAGAAATAAAACATAACGGATTGAATTGTGGAGAGAAACAACTTTCTCATTTATAATTGTATCACATACATTCGCGTCATAAATATTTTTTCCTTATATAACTTATAGTAATTAACAATCTCTAGAATATTTAAAATAAATGTACTTACCAAAGGTTTTAATTGCTTGACTAGAAATGATGATTATTTAAACCTGACAATAAGCTTAAACAGGTGTCTTCTACTCTGGCTTATAGTATAGGTCTGCTTCTACATGTGGGTGGTGCATCCGGCATGACATGTTTTTAGAAGTGAGAATGGATCATCGAGGTGATTGGCCACTTTTAAATCGAATTTTCTATTAGCATAATGTAAAGTTAAATTAATAATGACTTCTTAAAACACACCCAATTGACAGATGGAACGTGTCTCCTGATCAGTGTGGCATGAATCGTTTACAATAGATGTTAAAAGCTTCATTAATTAAAATTACAAGCAAAATGTTTTGATGTATATCATGTTTCTAGATGTGTAATATTTTGGATCAGCATTACATATTATTTCTAAATAAATTAAAAACACAATTATTTTTTTTGTGCTAATCAAAAATGCTTATAAAGTATTTTGCTACTTATGAATTAATTAACGAGATAGCTTAATTGAAGGAATATCTGATTATTAAGATTTACACAAAAGATCAATCTAATAAGGCATCTTCAAATTCATACGGGAGAGAAACCATATAACTCCGATTATTGTTTACAAAAGTTTGCTTACAAATACAGTTTAAATTCTCACATGAATTATCATAACAAAGAAATTCTTAATTAATATAAATATTGTATAAGTTTGAAATTTGAAAGAAATAATATACGTAATTTCCAACCTTGCTGTTTATTCATTTTCTATGACTTTCAGCTTTTCTACCTGACAATATAACAAATTTAAAAATTATAGTGTAAAAAAAGAATTTTATTCCAACGGAACTCGAAACAACAACCCTGTCAACATGAAACTAACGCTCCAAACCACACTACTGGCCACATGGTCAACAATGTAAATTATATAGGTGTTAACTGATTGTGAAGTGACTTCAACGTCATGCTGTTATTCGTAAGCACGTGATGGTCCACGTAGTTATATGCTAATTTCTTAGATACTTATATGTGTGAGATCACAATAAATACACGTATAAAGTCAGTTTTAATGTCGGATATACAGAATATACAACTAATGCAATTAAAAAATTAAGTGCTCCTACGGACAGGCGGTGACGTCAAAGTCATGTGGCATCTGCAGCCAATTACCGTGATGATTCATTTTTACTTCTAAGCGCGTGTTGCCTCCATTTTTCGACGTCATACTCGGGAGTTCAGAGCAGAAACGAGCCGAAGAAATGACGGATCGAGAGGTGCCGAGTCCGTAAGTAATTGTATTGTTTTCTGTTTTTAACGTTTCCACGTGTGTGGGCGCAGAATAATTTTACATGTTATTTTAATTTTTGCCATTAACTATCGTATGCGCCTCTTTTATAAAAAAAAAATTGAAAGGATTGTCTTACTGGAGACAATAAATAAGGAAAACTTCACAAAAAGCTTATTCCCTTGTGTAAATAAAAATCTGTTTACAATGTTCGATTCGAGAAATTGAACCCTAAAAGTGAGAGTCAAAGGGTTTAATTAGCTTAAAATTTCCCTTCTCTTAGTAAAATTATTTTCGGTCTTTAAAGTTTGAGTTAATAAGATTTGTTTACTTTTCGATATACAAATGATTAATACTCATTTTTTTGTACAAGATTTAATTCGGGTAGTTCAGTGTTTCTGACATGTAAATCGCGGATCCCTCAGTTTCATCAACTCGTAGGTGAAACGTTGAGTTCTAAAATTTAAAAGCGGTATTTATTTGTTTAAGGCAGTTAAATGAATGAAAGAAAATCAATTACATTTTGTACAGAGATTTGATTGAAATTAATTTGATGCCAATATTTTTAATAATATATTTTGTTTGTAATTATTCATATTAAGATCGAAATTTTTTAAAACAATAGACCTAATACGTGTTATAGTCGAACTTTATAAACGTTATTTGTTTAATGATTACAAGTTTCACATAAAAGAACCAAATAACATTACAGAGAAATTCACTTATTCGACCGGTTTATTATTTATCGGTCTACAAAGCATGAGAAATCATGTTCAGGATGAATATATAGGTATGAGTGTTAGGTTATACACTCCTTTCCCTTGTAAGGGACGAAACACCACATGATGACACCAGACATGGAATAGCCTCGAGCAATGTGACTCGACGCGCTAGTTATCAGATCTCTTTTTACTTCAGTTTGTAATGTAAACCTGTAACTGTGCTTTGTGTGAATGAGTGACACACACGAGGACAAAATTTAATTTTTACTTAATTACGGGACGTCGATGTCCCTTTATTTAGAACATACGAAATAAGTGTTTATGAAAAAAAGATCTAAAGTTTAACAAAGGACCGTCGATAATCCGTCGAAAACTATACACATACACAAAAATCTTTACATTAACAAAAGGTCACTTTGATATTAGTATTAATACTTATTATCAAATAATATCTATAATCTATTATACGAAGTGTCTCCTTTAAAATATGCAGGGATATCTTTATTCTGTTAACAAGATTGTATTTCAGGCTACGTTCCTCCTCACTCTACTGAAAGGCGTATCCCAAAATATAAATACTTCCCTGTTAATACAATAGAGATTTCTTTTCTTTTAAAAAATGCAGCGTTTGCTGGTACGATAGCTGTTAGGAAATAAAACATGATTATCGCAGAACCATCAAAACCCAAGAGGATAAGCTAATACAAAAACTTTAATAACTATTTTTAAAATATTGGTCATGTACAGTTTTTATTGATACACCATTGTCGGAAATCCTATAACTAACGTACAACAGACATGTTTGTGTGGGATTAGCAGTGGGCCACTGGGCTCATCCCAAATGACCACTTACTCTGCAACAGGTTGATAAAACCCGTTCTCGGTTTGTCGGATGGCTAGGAGAGCAAAAATTTGAGTGGGGAGTGCGTCTGTAAGTCGGCAGGTGTCCTTCGGAGACAGGTTTAAAAACTAAACAAGCATTTATTTATATAACTAAGCTAGGATACATAGGTTAAATGCGATTAAATAAGTTCACTATACAAAAGGGACGCTCTAATAGCTTTCCCGCTAGTCTGAGAGAGAGTTCACAAAGCTCTAAAAGTACAAATACCTCTCTGCGGATATGTCTAATATGCGTTCGTTGAATAGGTTCATTAATGGCGATGGAAGTTCAAATGGCTGCGGTTGGTCATATGTCCTTTCGGTCCGGAGTATGGAGACTAGTATATTACACATCTACCAAGTATGACTTCCGAGGGTCGCCTGGAGCTTTCGGGGACTCGAGCTTTTATACGTTATTCGTAGGAAATGAGTCACGTGATCGACTTCTGTTTACACTTACGGTGCATTACGATCAATTAAGTGTCAACTTTTCCACCTTAATGTGAAAACAATCGGTAACCTCCGATATATTTCTCACCAAGAGTGGGTTTTTCCTCGGAGTTGTTTACAAAGATTTTTCGGACCTCGGCGTAAAAATCGCGGATTTCACATTTGTTTGAAAGTAATAATAAATACCTTTTTGTTGTTCAGGGTTTCTTCGGGTGAGATACGAATCCAAAACGAAAAAATCGAAGAAATTATTATATCAGAAGCTCAGTTAAACAAAGTCCTGAACAGGCAATTGGAACATCATATTACAGATTTTGAAAATTTTAAAGTACTGTTTATGCCTTATCCAATAGAGATCATCAGACAATTCGTTACGTAAGTTTTTCACGTTACTTACCTTTCATTTAATTGCAATACTTTGTAATACGTTATAATTTATATTTTTTAAACAGTTATGTACAGACGGACGATCCCGGATTGACATCTATTACACACGCATTCGATCTCTATAAATTGAGTTTAAGATACGAGTTAGGTAATTTAAGAAAGAAATGCAGATTATTTATCATTCGGGAAATAAAACTGGATACCGTCTGTTCAATTCACGATTTTGCACGTGAGATCGGTGATCTGCTCATAACTTATTATTGCTGGCGAGCTTTCGACAAACACAGAGGAAAACTATTTACAACAGTCGACTTTAAGTGCTGTAAAATTGCAACAATTGATAGACTGCTATCTCGAGCGTTATATGAATCTGTCAGTGAATTGCTTTTACTACACGCCGTGTATCAGTGGAGCATAGAAGAAGCTAAAAGAAAACAGGGCGCAGACAACTTCCATTCGATGAATGAAGAATCGAAAAGAAACTTAATAAGAAATGTTATGAAGCCAATTATTGGAAAAGTTAGATTTCTTGCCATGAATGAAGAAGAATTGCAATCTTGTGTTTTTAAAATGAACTTGTTAAGCGAAGTAGAAAAGAGTCACATCTGGCATGCTTTTAAGTATAATTATTATTCCTTGTATCCCAGTTACTTCAGTCGAGAAACAAAAACCAGAAGCAGAATAAATTATTGGAACTTGTTCTCGTACATAAATCGTGGATATCCTTTTATGATCGCAAACGGAGAGATGAAAGGTTACATATATTTTAGCAGCGAAGTAGTTGTGAGAGAAGATTGTTACGTCACGGCTCTTCGATTTCCGGTGAAGCTTGCCGAAAGTTTTTCAATGTGCGTATACGCCTATGTTAACAATTTGGACAACGACTATTTTTCGTTTAAAACCGTTTGCAATCCACTGGGAGTAGCAAATCTGCAAACGAATTTGTATGTAGAAAAATATTGGTCAATTCGTTTATTTGCTTACTTTTTCCACGCTGAAAATGTTCAACCCGATATCGAGTTTTCACCTGAACTGAGTTACTTTGTGAGCGACGAAGGAACAAATGCAAGGAAATTTGAAGACAAATTTCTAATCGGTGACAGAAACCTTGTGAATAATATTTACTTTTTGGTTGATTTATACTTTTGAAGTGAAAAGTTTCCTTGGAAAAAAGTGAAATCTAAACGAAAAGGTAACGGAAAGTTAAATTCGAATATGATTATTTCTTACTGTATCGCGGTAAAATTTTCGCAAAGTGTAAATGGAATAACGATTTGTATTGGGATAAGAGAAAACAAAATTTAAAGTGTTTATTAATGTAATTTTTCTTTCTGAAATGTAAATTGTCATTAGTCGATTTGTTTATAATTCAAAATTTAGTATTTACAAATATATCATCGTCAAGAACGTTTATAATTGTCATAATTTGAATGATAATTTCGTGCGTGATTTTTATTTTTTTATTGAAGTAGATGTTCGAGAAAGAAATATAATTACAATGTTACAGCATTAATCTTATCTTTCTTCATGTTAATGACGATACAAATATGAAAACTTGAGAAGAATTTTTGTGGCAATAAGAAATTCTCTTATATATATTTTTATGTAAATTTTAAATACAGATAATGAAATTTTTAATTTATAAATAATACATTTTTGAAGTTATATTGAATTATTCCAACAGAAATTTTTATATTTAAATTAGTACTATTTCTGTGATTTGAAATTTATGTTAATTACCAGAGGTTATTCAATTATCTCCAATTCAATTTTCTAAAAAATGAACAAATTAATTTTCTGTTATTTAATATTAAATTCATGAATAAAATTTCAATATAAATATTAGAATAGCTGTAAATTACTTTTTTCAAAAATATTCAATTGCACAGAACATGATTACGTTGGTGTCCCCGCTAAGAAAAACCCAAAATTTAATATTTCGTATAAAGCGCGCAATATAAATTTAATATAAATTAACTGATTTGTAAAATGTTTTCAATTGTTTTGTTGTTTAAATCATATATATTTATGGTTTTCTAGGGGAGGTAAAGGGCTGCTGTACTTTTAACACTCCTTTTCAGAGAAGCGAATAAGTGGACCTCTTTTTTGTATCAATTATACAGCAACCGGATATTCAAAAACAAGATAGTACGTATTACTTTTAAAAAATCAATTTTTCAAAAATATTTCCTCAAAATTGATGAAAAACTTTATGGGTTAATTGTACATAAATAACCCCCGTTTTTTTTGCCTGGACCGCATTTAATCAGAGACAAAGCTTTTATTCGTATTCTTTATTTATTTTCTATGCATTTCGGGTGCAATATTTTTTTGTAATTTGCATCCCTCTTCAGGAGTTTTACATTTCTATAAATTTGGTAAATTTAATTATTACAACGGTAAATTACTACAATAGTTATACAATGGTTAACTAACCTGTTTTAAGTTTTAGATCGACATCTGCCCAGTGTTGATGTTATGTCCCCTAAGGCATTTTTAGACCGTTTCCCCCTCTTTTTGTTTTCTTTCCCTTTAGCTCCTCCCATTTCCTCCCACACGTCGTCAACCTCCATTCCATCATTTAGGTTTATGGTTTTGTTTTTATTAATGATTTCGAAGTGCTCTTTGAATTTTCTTAGATAAATATCTTTTTCTTTATGAATAATTTTTATACTTTTTTCGTTTATTGTGCATCCAAATTCCTTACAGTGATTTGTCCACGGTGATTGGTTATAATTAAGTCTAATTGCTGCTTTATGTTCTTTAATTCTGGTACCGAGTTGTCTTCCTGTTTCGCCAATGTATATTGCTGGGTTCTTACATGTGCATTTTATTTCGTATATGACACCTGCTTGGTTTAGTATTTCGTTATTTTTTAACTTATTGGTGTTGATGTTGTTTTTAATTTTATTTTTTAATTTGGCTGCTAGTGTAACACCATGCTTACTGAAAATTTTTTTGTATTTTTCAAATGTTCCCTTGATATAGGGGAACGACGTATATGTGGTGTTCTCATTCTTATTTTTAACGTTGAATCTGTTTTTCTTAAATGCATTTATCCACTTTTTAAGTAATCTGCTTGGATAGTCGTTCAATATGAAGGTATTTATTAGTTCATTTTTTTGTTTTTCTCTTTCTTCTGCCTTAGATGTTCTGTTCCAAATTTTAGTTATTGCTGTTATAAATATGTTTCTTTTTACTGTAATAGGACTGTACGACTTATAGTTAAGGATTTTGTCTGTATTACTGCTTTTTTTGTAAGGCTTTATATTGAGTGAGTTTTTTCCACGGTTTAAAGTTATATCTAGGTAGTTAATTTCATTTTTATTTTCTGTTTCACATTCATACTTAATGGTATTGCTTAGCGTGTTTGCGTAGTTGTATATTATATTTCCGCTAGTTATTTCATTGTCGTATATTACTATGATATCGTCCACATATCTAGCCATAAATATTATTCCGTTTAGTTTTGCCAGTTTTTTATCTATTTCTTTCATGCATATTTCTGCCAGTTTTGGTCCGATTATTGTCCCCATGCTAATACCATTTTTTTGTCTATATATTTTTTCATCTATATGGAAATAATTGTTTTTAAAGCTGTATTTTATTAACTCCAGTAGCCAGTTATGTATTTCTAGGTTGCGTAGGCTTTTTTCAATTAATTCCCATTTTATTGACGGGTACATAGAGATTATGTCTAGACTTAGTAGCCTATACGTCGGTTTCATTTTAATTCTCATCAGTTTTCTTATTAATTCGTCAGTGTTTTTTATTGAATAATCTGAATATGGTATTATTTTAAGTTTTTTCTTTATGAATAGTTCTAAATTAGATAGTATTGTGTTTTTAAAGTCTACTAACGGCCTGCATATATCTCCTGTTTTGTGTGTTTTTAGCCTTATTTTAAGTTGCGGTTTTCTGATATTGTTATAGTTTAGTATCTGTTTTTTCTCAGCTGGTGTTACCTTTCCTTGTTTATATAATTTTGTGATTTCTTTCTTCATCCATTTTTTTATTTCTTCTTTTGGTTCTTCTGTTAGTTCAACAAAGTCATTCGTTAACACTATTTCAGATTTTTTCTTTTTTTCCCATTCTTTATCCACTATGATGATTTGATTAGTTTTATCAGCTTTGATTATGTTAAGGTTATTATCCTTCAAGTATTTTTTTAGTGTTGCGCATTTTTTTGAATACTCTTTTCCGCCCCTATCTCTTAACATTATCTTCCCTATTTCATTGTTGCTTTTTAGTTTCTTTATGTCTTCTTTTATTTGATGTTTTAAATTACTTCTATTTTCTATTTTTATCTGATTTACCGCTTTGTCAATTTCGGATATTATATTAATTGCTTTATCGTTTAGTGGCATATTATATTCTAATCCTAGTTTTAGTATGTTAGTTATATTTGCTGGTATAGTTTTATTTGTCTTATTAACTATTAACTTACTTTCCCATTTTCTTTTTTCACTTGGCATTGGGTATCCGAATAGCTTTTTTAGTTTCTGGTCTTTTCTTTTTTTGTATTTCCAGTCGGTAGATTCTTTATTTGGTTCTGCATTTCCTTGTAATCTTCTTATTTGTCGTTTTAATATGAATAGTTTTTTAGTTTTGAATTTTATTGTAGCTTTTATTATTTGCCTCTCGATCTCCCATATATCTCTACGTTGTATGTTTGCTGAGATGGACTTGGGTAGGCTTAACGTATTCGGTGTGGATTCTTCTCTTAAGGAACATTTGAAATACTGTATGTCTATTTTGCACCTTGACTGAAGTTTTCTTAAATTATGGAGCTTTGTCTCTTTTTCCATGACGCTTATTATAATTATCTGCTATAAGTAATAGATATATATATATCCATGGTGCGGTTTACTTTATATTACTTTTAAAAAATCAATTTTTCAAAAATATTTCCTCAAAATTGATGAAAAACTTTATGGGTTAATTGTACATAATTTTGGGTACATAATTGTACCCAAATTGTACCCAAAATTGTACCCAAATAAATTGTACATAATTATGGGTTAATTGTACATAATTTGAAAAATTGATTTTTTAAAAGTAATATAAAGTAAACCGCACCATGGATATATACATATCTATTACTTATAGAAGACACTACATGTTAATTTTTCTTAGTTAACTAACTTCTCCACCATTTTGTATATTGGTATAGAAGACAGTGATTTCATAATCAACAGTTTTTGCATTAATTTTTATCCTTTAATACTCGTATTAAAAAATGCATGATTATAAAAGTCGTTCAAATTTTTTGTAGTAATTTCTATATTAAAATGTAAAAGAATAACTCTTCGTCAATTCTTATTTCGTTATTTTCCATTTTTTCCTTTATTTCCTTCAACAATATCCTGCAACGTTCATGCATAAATTAGCAATAATAACAGAATTCTGATCGTAATAAATTCAATTGTTAGAAGTTCTGTAAAGGAATTTTTTCTTAAATGTCCATCCTAAGAGTCATCAAGTGCCATTCAGGCAGACCCATCTTTAGATGCGACTGGTGGAAAAGAATAGAACCCGACATATTTCCAACCAAAAATTTCTGTAGTTCGACTGTCTGAGTGCCCCGAAATAGTTATCTCGGCGATCCGCTCATATTAATATTTATAGGATTACACTTACCTCAATAAATTCTGGAGCTTGGTCAAGTGTATCTGCATCTACATCCTAAAAATTCAAATTTATATATTTACTAGCTTCTTGGCGTTACCCGGAATTATTAAAGAAAAGTTTAAAACATAATAAATTATTAATTTTACGAAAATTCTGTTTAAAAAGAAAAATATCCGAGTCCTTACATGTAGTAATTTGACTTTAATATTAGAAACGGAAAAACAATACTTTTCACAGTATAACCTGGAAATGTAAAGATGCTTTTAGGAAGTCTTCGGAGTACATTAATTAATATTTGATCCATATTGAATAAGTTGTGACGGCCCAGTTCATGACTCATTTTATGAACATTATCAGTACGTCTAAAACTACGTGGGAATTATGTCCTTAGAAAAAGCGAGTTTGATAATAAGAAATTATTAGAGTTAAGAAAGTACTATTTAGAAATGAAACTACCCGAGTTGTTAGATGTAAACAATTAATTACTTATATAGTTTGTATGGTGTAACACTTTCCACCTGGGCATATGAGTGCTATTTACTAATGATGCAGTAATGATACAGAGCGCTTATTAGATCAATTTTGAATACAGATATGAGCAAGGAACTGTCCATTTGTTGTTCACTTTTATTTCAGTATAATGTGTTACCGATAAAGCTCGAAAGACGTTAATGTGTACATTACCTAGCTAATCTGCAGATTAACTAGGGTGATCCCGTGAAAGTTGTGAAAATTGTTGCATTTTTCAAATTACCTAGGTCATGTGCAGAGTATCTAGGTAATCCGCACATTACCTACTAGGCACTCGGTAAAGTNATTTAATTCGGGTAGTTCAGTGTTTCTGACATGTAAATCGCGGATCCCTCAGTTTCATCAACTCGTAGGTGAAACGTTGAGTTCTAAAATTTAAAAGCGGTATTTATTTGTTTAAGGCAGTTAAATGAATGAAAGAAAATCAATTACATTTTGTACAGAGATTTGATTGAAATTAATTTGATGCCAATATTTTTAGTAATATATTTTGTTTGTAATTATTCATATTAAGATCGAAATTTTTTAAAACAATAGACCTAATACGTGTTATAGTCGAACTTTATAAACGTTATTTGTTTAATGATTACAAGTTTCACATAAAAGAACCAAATAACATTACAGAGAAATTCACTTATTCGACCGGTTTATTATTTATCGGTCTACAAAGCATGAGAAATCATGTTCAGGATGAATATATAGGTATGAGTGTTAGGTTATACACTCCTTTCCCTTGTAAGGGACGAAACACCACATGATGACACCAGACATGGAATAGCCTCGAGCAATGTGACTCGACGCGCTAGTTATCAGATCTCTTTTTACTTCAGTTTGTAATGTAAACCTGTAACTGTGCTTTGTGTGAATGAGTGACACACACGAGGACAAAATTTAATTTTTACCTAATTACGGGACGTCGATGTCCCTTTATTTAGAACATACGAAATAAGTGTTTATGAAAAAAAGATCTAAAGTTTAACAAAGGACCGTCGATAATCCGTCGAAAACTATACACATACACAAAAATCTTTACATTAACAAAAGGTCACTTTGATATTAGTATTAATACTTATTATCAAATAATATCTATAATCTATTATACGAAGTGTCTCCTTTAAAATATGCAGGGATATCTTTATTCTGTTAACAAGATTGTATTTCAGGCTACGTTCCTCCTCACTCTACTGAAAGGCGTATCCCAAAATATAAATACTTCCCTGTTAATACAATAGAGATTTCTTTTCTTTTAAAAAATGCAGCGTTTGCTGGTACGATAGCTGTTAGGAAATAAAACATGATTATCGCAGAACCATCAAAACCCAAGAGGATAAGCTAATACAAAAACTTTAATAACTATTTTTAAAATATTGGTCATGTACAGTTTTTATTGATACACCATTGTCGGAAATCCTATAACTAACGTACAACAGACATGTTTGTGTGGGATTAGCAGTGGGCCACTGGGCTCATCCCAAATGACCACTTACTCTGCAACAGGTTGATAAAACCCGTTCTCGGTTTGTCGGATGGCTAGGAGAGCAAAAATTTGAGTGGGGAGTGCGTCTGTAAGTCGGCAGGTGTCCTTCGGAGACAGGTTTAAAAACTAAACAAGCATTTATTTATATAACTAAGCTAGGATACATAGGTTAAATGCGATTAAATAAGTTCACTATACAAAAGGGACGCTCTAATAGCTTTCCCGCTAGTCTGAGAGAGAGTTCACAAAGCTCTAAAAGTACAAATACCTCTCTGCGGATATGTCTAATATGCGTTCGTTGAATAGGTTCATTAATGGCGATGGAAGTTCAAATGGCTGCGGTTGGTCATATGTCCTTTCGGTCCGGAGTATGGAGACTAGTATATTACACATCTACCAAGTATGACTTCCGAGGGTCGCCTGGAGCTTTCGGGGACTCGAGCTTTTATACGTTATTCGTAGGAAATGAGTCACGTGATCGACTTCTGTTTACACTTACGGTGCATTACGATCAATTAAGTGTCAACTTTTCCACCTTAATGTGAAAACAATCGGTAACCTCCGATATATTTCTCACCAAGAGTGGGTTTTTCCTCGGAGTTGTTTACAAAGATTTTTCCGACCTCGGCGTAAAAATCGCGGATTTCACATTTGTTTGAAAGTAATAATAAATACCTTTTTGTTGTTCAGGGTTTCTTCGGGTGAGATACGAATCCAAAACGAAAAAATCGAAGAAATTATTATATCAGAAGCTCAGTTAAACAAAGTCCTGAACAGGCAATTGGAACATCATATTACAGATTTTGAAAATTTTAAAGTACTGTTTATGCCTTATCCAATAGAGATCATCAGACAATTCGTTACGTAAGTTTTTCACGTTACTTACCTTTCATTTAATTGCAATACTTTGTAATACGTTATAATTTATATTTTTTAAACAGTTATGTACAGACAGACGATCCCGGATTGACATCTATTACACACGCGTTCGATCTGTATCATCTGAGTTCAAGATACGAGTTAGAGAACTTAAGACTGAAATGCAGGTCATTTATCATTCGGAAAATAACACGGCAAACCGTCTGTTCAATTCACGATTTTGCACGTGAGATCGGTGATCTGCTCATAACTTATTATTGCTGGCGAGCTTTCGACAAACACAGAGGAAAACTATTTACAACAGTCGACTTTAAGTGCTGTAAAATTGCAACAATTGATAGACTGCTATCTCGAGCGTTATATGAATCTGTCAGTGAATTGCTTTTACTACACGCCGTGTATCAGTGGAGCATAGAAGAAGCTAAAAGAAAACAGGGCGCAGACAACTTCCATTCGATGAATGAAGAATCGAAAAGAAACTTAATAAGAAATGTTATGAAGCCAATTATTGGAAAAGTTAGATTTCTTGCCATGAATGAAGAAGAATTGCAATCTTGTGTTTTTAAAATGAACTTGTTAAGCGAAGTAGAAAAGAGTCACATCTGGCATGCTTTTAAGTATAATTATTATTCCTTGTATCCCAGTTACTTCAGTCGAGAAACAAAAACCAGAAGCAGAATAAATTATTGGAACTTGTTCTCGTACATAAATCGTGGATATCCTTNTCTGCACATTACCTAGGTAATTTGAGAAATAAAACAATTTTAGCAACTTTAACGGATCACCCTAGTTAATCTGCAGATTAGCTAGGTAATATACACATTAACGACTTTCGAGCTTTAGCGGAAACCTTTACATGAGGAAGAAAAGTCGCTACGACGGTCGTGTGAATATATTAATACTGTATAAATATTGTAAAAGTTTGACATTTGAAAGCAACCTTGCTGTTTTTATTCATTTTCTACGATTTACAATTTTTCTATCTGACAATATAAAAAATTAAAAAATTATATTGTAAAAAGAAAACCACATTTACTCCAACGGGACTCGAAACAACAACCGTATCAATACGAAACTAACACTCCCAGACCACTTTACAGGCCACAATGTCCATAACGTAAATTATAAAAGCTTTAATTGATTGTGAAGTGACTTCAACGTCATGCTGTTACTCGTAAGCACGTAATGGTCCAATTAGTTATATGCTAATTTCGTAGATACGTATATGTGAGATCATAATAAATACACGTATAAAGCCAGTTTTAATGTCGGATATACAGAATATACAAGTAACGCAATTAAAAAATTAAGTTCTTCTGCGGACAGGCGGTGACGTCAAAGTCATGTTGCATCTGCAACCAATTACCGTATAATTTCTTTCTACTGCTAAACGCGTATTGTCTCCGTTCTTCGACGTCACACTCGAGAGTTCAGTGCGGAAAGGAGCCGAAGAAATGGCGGATCGAGAGGTGCAGAGTCGGTAAGTAGTTGCATTCTTTTGTGTGTATAGCGCTTCTATATGTGTGGGCGCAAAATCATTTTACCTGTTTTGCAATTGACAATCGTATGTGTCTATTTTATAAAAAATTTAAGAAAGAAAGCGATGCTGTGCTGCTTTCGAGAGCTTAAAAAATAATGTGATAAATAATATAAGTTGATTTGGTTAATGTCCAGAGTCGTAAACTGTCATGGCGTCTCTTCTTGTTTTAGCCTCGAAACCGGACCGCTTTGGAGACGACGTGTCACGTGAAGACGCGATCGAATGGCGGCGGCTGCTGCGCCGCGATAAACAGGGAAAACCGACGCGCGGGTTAACGTCCGTATACGTAGACTCATGCGACTCATCTCTAATTCCGCAAAAAGAAAAGGAAACAGTGGAGACACACGTTCTAACCTAACCTAACCTATTCTAATAAGTTATCATAATTATTACCAATTATATTATTAGAATAGGTTAGGTTAGGTTAGAACGTGCGTCTCCACTGTTTCCTTTTGTTTGCTGGAATCAGCGGTGAGCCGTAATGACAGCCGCCGCCATTCCCTCGCGTCGTCAAGTGACACGTCGTCTCCGAAGCGGTCCGGTTTCGAGGCTAAAACAGGAAGACCCGCCATGACAGTTTACGACTCTGGACATTAACCGTTGATTTTCTGTCTGTTATTTGTACTTATTTCATCACATTTGTTCGGATCAAATGAACATTCTCTTACTGAATTTTTATATATAAATTTTCCTAAATACAGTATTTAAACTAAAAGTATTTACTTAAGAAAGTTTCAATTGTCTTACCGGAGACAATGACTAAGCAAAGTTTCACAAAAAGCTTATTTCCTTGTGTAAATAACCGTCTGTTTACAATGTTCGAACTGGACAAATAGACTCTTCCACTTTTAGGATTCAAAGAGTTTAAGTAGCTTCAAATTTCCCTTCTCTTGGTAAAATTATTTTCGGTCTTTAAAGTTTGAGTTAATACGCTGTGTTCACTTTTTAATATACAGATGATTAATACTCATTTTTTTCTACAAGATTTAATTCGGGTAGTTCAGTGTTTCTCAACATGTAAATCGCGGATCCCTCAGTTCCATTAACTACTAGGTGGGACGTTAAGTTCTAAAATGTAAAAGTGCTATTTATTTGTTTAATTTAAATTAAGGCAGATGAACGAATAAATTAATTAATTACATTTTGTACAAAGATTTGATTAAGATTAATTTGATGCGAATAATTTTACAATATATTTTGTTGGTAATTACTTACATTAAAATCGTTAAGTGTTTTCTTTTAACCTGTTTTAAAGAGGAATATTTAATAGACATTTCAAACACAATAAAAATGTTTTATTTAAAACAATAGATCTAGTACGTGTTACAGCAGTTATTTGTTCAATGATCAGAAGTTCCACATTAAATAACATTACAGAGAAATTCACTTTAACGACCGGTGTACAAAGCGTGAGAAATCATGTTCAGAATGAATATATAGGTAAGACAGTGTTACGTTATATACTCCTTTCCCTTGTAAGCGACGAGGAACCAAATGATGCCATTCGGCACGGAAATAATAAAATGGATAATTGCAGGAAATCGAAATTTTGGACTACCTATCACTATCAGTTATAACAGTACAGTATACAATGACCTATACACATAGATTTTCAGAATATGACAGGTTATAGAAAAATCAATTATTGTTCGTGAAGAATTACAAAACAATTCCACACGAATCCTGGATTATTTACATTTTATATAATGAAAACTGTACAGACAAATTTTTCTTTCTTTTTAATTTTATTAAAAATTCTAGTCTGGGAGTGATAGAAGACGTATCGACAAATTAACAAAAGGACCGTTGGTACTCGGTCAAAAACCATACACATACACAAAAATCTTTACATTAAAAAAGGTCACTTTCATATTAGTATTAATATCTATTGATAATCAAGTACTATCTCTGATCTANGACCGTTGGTACTCGGTCAGAAACCATACACATACACAAAAATCTTTACATTAAAAAAGGTCACATTCATATTAGTATTAATATCTATTGATAATCAAGTACTATCTCTGATCTATCATACAAATTGTCTCCTTTAAAATATGCAAAAATATCTTTATTCTATTAACAGGATTATCTATCATACTACTCCCCTCTTTAGTCTACTGAAGGATACATCCCGAAATACTTCCCTATTCATAGAATAGAGATGTCTTTTCTTTTAAAAATGCAGCGTTTTCTGGTACGATAGCTCCTAAAAAATAAAACTTGGATTTTGATGGTTTCGCGATAATCAAGGTAAGAAGCTAATACAAAAACTTTAATATCTATTTTTAAAATAGTCATGCATATATTGTTCATACACCATTGTCGGAAATACTACAACTACCGTACAGTACAACAGATATGTTTGTTTGAAAGTAATAATAAATACCTTTTTGTTGTTTAGGGTTTATTCGGGTGTGATACGAATCCAAAACGATGAAAACGAAGAAATTATTATTTCAGAAGCTCAGTTAAATACAGTCCTGAACAGGCAATTGGAACTTCTCATTACATATTTTGAAAATTCGAAAGTACTGTTTATGCCTTATCCAATCGAGATCATCAGACAATTCGTTACGTAAGTTTTTCACGATACTTAAATTTCATCTAATTGTAATACTTTCTAATAAATTATAATTTATATTTTTTAAACAGTTATGTACAGACAGACGATCCCGGATTGACATCTATTACACACGCGTTCGATCTGTATCATCTGAGTTCAAGATACGAGTTAGAGAACTTAAGACTGAAATGCAGGTCATTTATCATTCGGAAAATAACACGGCAAACCGTGTGTTCAATCCATGATTTTGCACGTGAGATCGGTGATATGTTCATAATTTATTTTTGCTGGGTAGCTTTTAACCAACACGGAAGAAGACTATTTACAACAGTCGACTTTAAGTGTTGTAAAATCGCAACAATTGATAGACTGCTATCTCGAGCGATATATGAATCTGTCAGTGAATTGCGTTTACTCCAAGCCGTGTATCACTGGAGCATAGAAGAAGTTAAAAGAATAATGGGTGAATACAGATTTCTTTCGATAAGTAAAGAATCGGAAAGGAATGCAATAAGAAGTGTTATGAAGCCATTTATTGGAAAAGTCAGATTTCTTGCCATGAATGAACGCCAATTGCAATCTTCTGTTTTTAGAATGAACTTGTTAAGCGAAGTAGAAAAGAGTCTTATCTGGCATGCTTTTAAGACTGGTAATTATTCCTATTATCCTAGTTACTTCAGTCGAGAAACAAAAACAAGAAGCGGAATAAATTATTGTAACTTGTTCTCGTACATAAATCGTGGAGTTTCTTTTATGGTAGCAAACAGAAAGATGGAAGGTTATATATATTTTAGTTGCGAAGTAGTTGTGAGGGAAGATTGTTACATCACGGCTCTTCAATTTCCGGTGAACCTTGGCGAAAGTTTTCCGATGTACGTACACGCGTATATTAACAATTTGAATAACGAATAGTTTTCGTTTGACACCGTTTGCAATCCACACGGAGTAGCGAATCTGCTAAGGAAGTTGTATCTAGAAAAATATTGGTCAATTCGTTTCTTTGCTTACTTTTTCAACGCTGAAAATGTCCAACCCGATATCGAGTTTTCACCTGAACTGAGTTACTTTGTGAGCGACGAAGGAACAGATGCCAGGAAATTTGAAGACGAAATTCTAACCTGTGACAGAAACCTTATGAATAATATTTACTTTTCGGTTGATTTATATTTTTGAA